CGAAACAAAACTAAGCATAGTAGAAGTGTCAGTTTAGCTGTTATTTGTCTTAGAGACAATGCCTCATTGTCCAGCCAGTTTTGAAGAAATCGAATAACCAGATCTACATCCCATAGCCTGTTATACTTCGGGGCTGGAGGTCTGGATAGTTTGATGCCCTGAAGTAGACGGCATATCAAAGCATTCTGACCTATTGGTGTTCCGTTTATCAGAGTGTGAGCTGCCGAGATGGCGGATCGAGTAATATTAATAGAACGGTATGCTTTCCCTTCAGTGAATAAATTGAACAGAAAATTTAGAATGTATGAATTAGGTGCTGTAAAGGGATCGAGGTCCCTTTACATGCACCAGCGATTCCATGTATTCAATGCTGATATCTAGCTGTGTCTAGTGCCAGGTGCCCATGAGTCCCATAGTAGGTCTCTAGTTGTCTGCGATAGGCCTGCGACGCTCCAGGATCCCCGGAAAAACTCCAGGCCACTAGTTCCAACCGTTCCTGGGTTATTAGTGGGTGAGGTTCCCCTTCTGGATTCGTTAGGAGGAGTGGGAACACTGGTAAGACTAGTGGATGGTCTTGTGACAGTGCTAGTAGGTCTGGAAACCATGCTTGGCTCTTCCACAATGGTGTGATCAGTATCAGCGATGTCCTTGCTCCGCGTAGGTGATGAAGGACTCTTGCCAGCATCGAGAACGGCGGAATGCATACGCCCCTTTCGGTGGCCATTGTTGTAAGAACGCATCCACCGCTTCGCTCTGTGGGTCCGGGAGCCAACTGTAGAACCTCGGTAGTTGTGTGTTCGTCCGTGATGCGAAGAGGTCTATGTGCAGGGGACCTCTTAGTGTCCTCACCCGGTGGAATATAGCGTTGTCTAGGCGCCAATCTCTGCTGTCTCTCCAATGTCGAGAGAACCAGTCCGCCGTGAGGTTGTTGACTCCAGGTAGGTATTCTGCCTTGATCGTGATGTTGCAGGGAAGGCAAAACCGATAGATGTCCCTCGTCGCTTCTGTCAGGGCTTGCGATCTGGCTCCGCCCAGATGGTTTATGTACTGGACTGCTGATATGTTGTTATGCGTAAAAGTATGCAGCAGTTGGACATGTGCTTGGCCAGACTGCGTATCGTAAAGGAGCCCGCTATCAACTCTAGGCAATTAATGTGTAGGAGTTTTTCTTCCTCTGACCATGGGCCTCCGGTGGATGCCTGCGAGCAGTGGGCTCCCCAGCCCCATAGGCTGGTGTCCGACTCCAGAACAAAGTCCGGGTTTGGTCCGAATATGGCTCTGCCGTTCCAGGCCTCCATGTGGAGGAGCCACCACTGGAGTTCTGTCCGCACTTCTGCTGATACTGGAATCCAGTGGTCGTATGTATATCCCTGTCTCAAGTGGTGGGCCTTCGCTCGTTGCATGGCCCGATAATGGAGTGGTCATGGGAAGATCGCTTGTATGGAAGATGATAATAGGCCTACCATTCTGGCCAGAAGGCGGAGTGGTATTGAGTCTCTTCGGAGTGCCCGGCGTACCTCTTTCCGTATTGTCGCAATTTTCGCCATGGGTAGTCGTAGGGTGCACGTTCTCAAGTCTGTTTCGAACCCCAGAAATTGTACCACCTTGGCTGGGTGGAACGATGATTTTTCTCTGTTTACGATGAAGCCCAATGATTCCAGCAATTGCACTATGAATTCCGTTTGAAATCGCAGCTGAGGCCGAATGGGAGACAAGTAAATTGGCAAGTAAGGTTTTTCCAGGTGAAACGGAGGAAAGGTCGGCTGACGTGGGTGATCGGTACCCAAAGATAGGCGTCTTTTAAGTCTAGCCGAGTGAACCAGTCGTGTTTTTGTAATAGACCTCTGAGGAGGTGGATACCTTCCATTTTGAAATGCCGGTAGGTAACGAATCCGTTCAGTTGCCGTAGGTTGATGACCGGTCTGTAGTTTTCTTTTGGACCACGAAGATGTTGCTGAAGAAGCCCGTATTGTCCGGGGCGATCTCCACAGCACCTTTGTTGAATAGGGCCTGGATTTCGTTGTCTATGAGTTCGGTGTGATGTGCCGACGCCCTTATTGGTGGAGGGCGACGTTTCTGCACCTGGGTGTCTGAAAGCTTGATCTCGTAGCCCGCTACCGTATGTAGGATCCAGTTGTCCGAGGATATCTTTCCCCATTCCTGTGAAAAGAGAGACAGTCTGTTTGCAGTCATCTGAGAGAATTAAAACGTTGTGTTGGGGTAGCTCACCTGCATTGAAGCGTCCGCGTCCGTGGGTGCAGGTACCTCTGGAACGGAAAGACCCTCGTGGGAAGAAGGTTCTTGCCAATGGGAAGAACGCTTGGGGCATTTGGTCTCTGGTGCCTGTGGGCCAGAATCTGCTGGTGGCTCAACCCCTTTGGCGACCAGCCCTGCCATAAACTCCACGGTGTGGTGTGGTGTAGCGAAACACTTGTTTGATGGACGTCTGTGCCTTATTTAGTGTAGTGAAGAGATTCACATGCTTTTTTAGCTCTGTTATAAATGAGTCCCCGAAGAGCTGGCCGTTCACCAGTGGTCCCATCTCTTTCTTTCCCAACTCCATTAGTTTGGAGTCCATTTTTAGCAACGCTGCTCTGCAGCGCTCTGCGCACATTGCAACGTTAGTGTTGCCCAGTATACAGATAGCCCGTTGAGCCCATTCTCGTATAACGTGGGCGTCCAGTGTTGCTCCCTGGGAGAGGGCTAGGTCGGTAAGGTATAGTATCTTTGCCAGAGGGCATAGTATGTCCAGGAACTTGTCCTGCGATTCCTACAGACCCTTCTCTATACCTTTTCACCGGTCTCGGCCCGCGCGGGACATGAAAAGGAGTACGGTAGTGTTGAATTCAGGGGTTTGTGCAATTTTGTCCAGCAGTATTGGTCTTGGTGCATTCTCCCCGTAGCCTTGCCCTCACTTCTTTTTCCATCGGCTTTCTTAGCCAGAAATGGATGAACTGAGCCAGGTAATCTGGCAAGCCCTATTCTGACGATCTTGGGTGTCGGATCGTGCGGGATCGAACATGGTTGCCCCTTGAGGGTCTAGGTGCCTTCTTCTCGTTTGTCCCGTGAATGATGAGCATTCTCCTGTTCAAAGTACGTGTCTTGGTCGTACTCTGTATCATCCCTTGGGATATCCTGCCACTCCTCTGCTTCCGATAGCGAAGCCTCCGCTTTCCACTCGTCCATAATTTCGAGTGACGGCAGGGGGTTGTGGTCGTCGTCCTCCGAGGACGGGGTGCGTGGCGGGGATGGTCCCCTTCTTTCTGCCTGACGGCTCCTTTTCAACGGAGCTTTGCCTTTAGATTTTTGGTTGCCTGAGCCGACGTCCTTCCATTGCCGCTTTATGGTGGGGAGGTCTCTGGGGAAGGCAGGCTCTTTCGGTTCCGTGGTTGGTTCGGTGGCAGCATCCGTTTTTGGGTTCTGCACCAGTAGTTTGGCAATAGCCTTTTCCACTGAGGCGACCACCGCCGAGTTAATCATCGACTGTAAGTCAGACGGTGGTGAGTTAGGTGAGTCACTCATCGTGAGGCAGTGGTGTATTCTGTCTGTGGAAGACAGGAGAATGTCAGGTACCGAAGTACGTGAAATTTAATACATTAGGCTTCCACTTACGACTGGGGGTCACCCAGCGTTACTTGCCCCGAGTGTGACCGGGATGAGCGGTTGTATAAATGGGCCGCACCCGTGAGGGGTGGAGGGCCTGTTTGATTAGGGGTCAAGTGGTATGAGGAGGGGGTCACCCTCTGTGAGACCGGGATGAGCGGTCGTATAAATGGGCCGCACCCGTCCGGATGGAGGGCCTGTGGTTTGGGGTTCACCTTACACTGTTTGAATTGTGGAGCCTGTTTACTGCCAATTTTCCACCCTACTTGGTAAGGAGGTATGTGGATCACCCCAGCCGTATTGTGGGTACCATGCATAGAGTCTTGTATATATTATAATGATATAGCAGGGTATGAGCCTGCTTGCACTGCGATTCTTGAGCTTGTGGGGTCACCCCTTGAAGAGGGTCCCTCTGGGTAAATTCTGCACTGAGTGCAATGCGGCTCTGCTTGGGGTCACCCAGCGTAAGGGGGGTCACACCTATAATAATAATAATGGCAGTAACGTGAGTGGGGGGTTACCCCTGAATGAGAGGTGTCACCTCTGTAAAACCACTTAGCAGCAGTGCAATGTACCTCATATATTCCAGGTGTTCACAATAAGGATCCAGTGTAGGATGGTGTAAAACTGTCTTTGCCTTTAAATATATATCGGTGAGTGCTGAGCGGATCTTGTGAATCACGACCGCTAGGGGCGCAAATGGCCGTCGTGGGTTCGCGCCAAAACGGCAGCGCGGTTTGCGAATCCGATTGCGGCCCGCCACCATGAATTAGGGCCGTGCAGGGAAGAATGCCAGTGGCCAAACCCTCAGACTTCCCTTCCCACCTCCCAGGGAACCCCTATGCCAACTCAGTGCCCCGAAAAAACGTGCGCGTGCGCGTTCGCGGTAAAATAGAAGGTGGGGCAGATAGAAGGAGGATGCAGTACAGGGTAGAGAGGATAGGGAGGGTTGAGGGTGAAAACAATAGTTTAAGATATGGAAAAATCAATGCAGTATATAAAATAGTAATATGTAGTAACTCTGAATGAATCACTCTGACCTGTGTCTATATGGAAGCAGCAAAGAAAGAGGAATAGACACGCCCATCAAGGACTTATATACAGGCTATGCTTGCCTATGATTGGTTAAACATTTTGATTGATTATCTTGTGCTGCTGGAGGCATAAGTAAAGAAAGTTATGCAACATAGGAAGCCTCCTGTCATGTTGTAAAATTCAAAACTTAAACCTTTAGATATTTCCTGGGCCAGATGGTTTTATAAATGGTTTGGCAGAATCTCTTTCCCCTTAGCCCACTAGGCTGTTTAATTAGTTTTTTGAATGGGGCACCCCTGGCTCAGAATTGCTTAAGTTAGAAGTATATTATTATATCTAAAAAAAAATTTTTTAAAAAAGAACCCATTTGCCCACTAAATTATTGGCCACTCTTTCTTCCCAATTCTGATTACAAGATAATTATTAACCTCTTGACCTATAATCTCAACTCTTGACTACCATAATTTACTTAGATCAGTTTGTCTTAGTGCCTACTAGACAGAAGTATTAGAACACCCATCACAAAAAAAACTGTGTCTTGTATGTTAGGTCTAAGGCATTCAACCATCTCAAGTAGCCTTATCTTTTCAATGTCTTCAAACTATTTGGTTTCTGAATCTCTGGGCTTCAACCATTTAATAATTTAGAAGATGCAGTTTTACAGAAATACAGAGATTTATACAATGCATGGTGTCTTTTTAGAGGTTAAATGAAAGGTTGATGATCCATTTATAGTATTTATATCTTGGAGTTCCTGGAAATATGAACCAGATGAAAGGCAGACAAAGCTTTTACCCAATCAGATTGACTATACCTGGGCTCCTTAGAACCTGTTAATGTGGTTCAATATTTATAAAAAGGAATTGGAACCTATTCTGTACTAGTACTGTATATGCAAGAGATTGAAGTGGATTGGAGTCTAATACTAAAAAACACAACCAAATTAGAGAGGGAAAAAAGAGAAATATCAAGGATTAGACAGTGGATTTCTATTGCTTATTTATTTATGACAAGACCTACTCTAGCTGAAAAACTTACTGCTACCACAGGACACGTTCCAAGGTCTTGTGGAATCCATAATTTGATACATCAGAGTGGTTTTGTCAGCACATGGGGGACTTACACCCAGGGCCGGACTGGAAATGAAAAGCAGCCCTGGAAAAGCTGATAGGGCACTTCTTATTTCCACACTGGAGGAAAGTCACTTATTTTTATAAGGTTTAATGTAAGGGGCAAGTGTAGTTGATGACCCACTCACCTTGTCCATCCTGAGAAGAACATCATTTTCACTTCAAGGTTGTAGCATGACTGACCATCATTCAGTGCGGGGAAAAAGCAGTGTCCTATCATCAGCTTTTACAAATTACAACTGAGGAGATAGCAGGCACTGCGTGACTCAGCCAGGTAGGGTAGAATCACTACAATGAAAGGCATTTGGAAAAAGGGCAATGCAGCTGCAACAAGAGGTCATTTAATTTGAAAAACGTGAATTTTTCAAAAAATGAACAGACAATTGATAATACACTCACCTGTTCCCCGCTTTCATTTTTTTAATACTCCATTCTCCCAAATAAATTACTCTTGGTTGCAAGTTTTTCGAACTTTGAAAAAGAGTAAAGTCCATCATCAACAATCATTGATCCAAAAGCAGGCAACCCCTCACCGCAATTGTAGCCATTTTCAATAATGCCACTTTTGTGTTTTTGTTTTTTAATGGAAGGACAGTCAGACGCTACAGAATGGATGTTTGGGGAAGTTTGTTCATGTCAATTTGGAAGGTGTGCGTAGATGATCAATGACTAAATGACTTATTCCATAAATCCTTTTTTCACAACTTGAAATGACTCCTCATTTTTCATTAATGCAAAATAGCAAAATGAAAAAGATAACACTCAATCGTTATAAAACTAAGCAAAGTCCCTATTTAAATTTGTAATCCCGAAAGCTAAAAAAGTACTTTTTGCCTGTTAGCTTAGAAAGAAGGGTTACATGTAAAGAGTGAAAACGCGGAGGAAACTGAAGTCTTCTCAAGTCTGACCAGCAGTTAATAGTAGGTAATACAATTTTTATTACTATATGAATCCCCTTTCTGCTTGTCTACATTTCGTTGTGGTCAGACGAACTTTTCATGGGAAAATTTGTGAAAGCAGATTAAGATTTAAATAGCCACCACATCTTCTCTACTCCATTACTGGAAATCACTTACTATACCTTCTATCAAATAGGTTTTAAACGTAATGCTGGAAAATAACATCTACAAAATAGCTCTTAGGCAGCCATCACCATTATTTAACCAACTTGCGTATCATTGGATTGAATAATAAATATATATATATATATATACTTGTGGTGTAAAATTAGTTACTGTAGCACTGGTGGGCGGTAAGGAGATTTTACCATCAACAAAGATACAAAAGCGGTCGGTAGGTATTAAAAGGTTAACTACCCCTGAACTGGTTATTTACATGTAGATTTTTACATGTAAATAACCTGGTTATTTACATGTAGATTTTTTAATTATGTATATTTTATCCATATATATATATATATATATATATATATATTTTAGCAAAAAAAAAGAGGAGGTAATAGGCAATCACTACAGTGCGGTACAGGACGTAATAGGGCTGCAGTGACTAGTACAAGGATTCCCAAGCCTTGTGGGTGATAGGATATAGTGAAAAAAGAAAGTAACCGCGCCCAAAGATAATTAATAAGGCTTGATGCGTATTCAGGTATTTTGGATTTATACACGTATTTGACCTCAAAAAAACAGAACAATAATGGCGCAATACAATATGTACAATAGGTGCGTGATAGGTGATCCGATGTGATTACACTCTGAAGAAGCCTCTGGAGAGCTGAAACGCATTAAGTGGGAGTTCTTGAGCTCTTTTATATTGCTTTTATACTTTTTTTATGTGGTTAATAAATAGTGTATTTTATTTAAATTTTATATTTACACTTTGTTATTTTACCACTCATCACTTCATGGTACCATCACATCCTTAGGTGGGGATTGTATCACCAACGTTCTATATTATAAAAAATTTTACCAATTGGGTGATCATTGCTATTGGGGGATTGTTGATGTGCTACAATTCACGCCTGTTGCACCTTATTGATTTTTAATTAGCATTTTAGGATAGCCTTATGCCTATCCCACGCATGCTTAAACTACTTCATTGTGTTAACCTCTACCACTTCAGCTGGATGGCTATTCCATGCGTCCATTATCCTCTCTGAAAAATAATAGGGTGTACACAAAACTGTTCATGAAAACTGAAATGTGTTTTTCTTCTTCAGGTATACGTTTAGAAACAGTGCTTGGCATCCAGTCTTACTATTTTCAAGCAATGCCGAGGAGTGAGTAGTGTTACAGTTCTGCAAATTAAATATTTCTTATCGCATCTAAGATTTTAATTCAGCTTAATGACCAATCCAGGTGCCTGTTCAACTCTGTATATATATAATTCCTTTCCATAACCATTAACAATTAATCACGAGAAGAGATGCAACAATCTCGACCATTAGAGAAGGTACGTCACCTTAAACTTACCTTTTGTTTGCAGTAGTAAGACTGCCTCTAGTAGCTGTCTTCCAAACAGCCACTAGAGACGCTTCTGGGAGTTTACCAGACTGAGTTGCTTAAACAATGAGGACTTCCAGCATCAGAGAAATCCCCATTTGGAGAAATTTCCGTAGAAAAGCATTCATTTAATGCTTTCCTATGGGGAGGTCCTAATGTGCTCTTGGCACTCGCTGTGCATGCGCACCAGGTCCCCTCATCGGATGATGTTGGAGGAGGTGGATCGCCGAGGGAGTAAATAATGTTTCAAAGGGGGAGGGAGGGCACGAATCTTATGTCTTAAAGGGACACTCCAGGCACCCAGACCACTTCTGCCCATTGGAGTGGTCTGGGTGCCAACTCCCACTACTCTTAACCATGCAACTGTAATTATTGCAGTTTTTTATAAACTGCAATAATTACATTGCAGGGTTAACGCCACCTCTAGTGGCTGTCTAGTAGACAGCTACTAGAGGGCACTTCCTTGTCCACAGCACAGAAAACCTGTGCTAGAGCTTCGCTGGACGTCCTCACACTATGTGAGGATCTCCAGCGTCGCTCATTTCCCCATAGGAAAGCATTGAAATGCTTTCCTATGGGGAGCGCTAATGTGCATGCGCGGCAATGCCGCACATGAGCATTAGGTCTCCCCGGCCGGTGGGCGGGATCAGTCTCGCCCACCGGCTGACGCAATAAGAGGGAGGAGCGTCGCGGAGGAAGAAGCAGCGACGTGGGACATCGTCGCTGCCTCTGGTAAGTTACTGAAGGGGATTTCACCATTTCAGCAACCGGGGATTGGGGGTGGGAGGGAGAGGGGACCTGCAGTGCCAGAAAAAGCAACAGATTCTGAAAGTGTAGGAGAAGAGGAAACAATATGAGAAAGTTAAGTTTGAGGTGACAGAACCACTTTAACCAGCACTTAAATTATGCATTTATGCAGATTTTCACTTAAAAAAAAAAAAAAATAAGAAATGGTAAATGGCTTGAATTTAATTTATTAAACAATAAGAAGAATTACCATGTTGTGGAAAAGATCTCTGGATCACAAAATATCTGTCTCTTCTCACGATCATGTAAAACCATTTATACTTATAATAGTTGATGCACAGAGGCCCACAATAGGATGACCTGCACTGATCAGCCACAATCTTAAAATCACCTACCTAATGTGTAGGTTCCCCTCATATTGCAAAAACAGCTCTGATGCATCAAGACATGGGCTCCACAAGACCTCTGAATCTGTCCTGTGGTATCTGACACCAATACATTAGTAGCAGATCCTTTAAGTCTGTATTCATCCCATAGTGCATCTTGCTGCCATCTGTTTCACATATAAGCAGAAAAATGTGATTAATCAGATCAGGCAACTTTCTTCCACCGCTCCTTGAAGGTGCTTTCAGGTGCTTTCATTGGTGGACAGGGGTCATCATGGGCACTTTGACCAGTCTGTAGCTATGCAGACCCATATACAGGAAACCGCAATGCACTGTGTGATCTGACACCTTTCTATAATGGCTAGCATTAAGGTTTTCAGCTATTTGAACTACAGTAGCTCTTCTGTATAATAGGACCAGCTGGTCTAGCCTTCACTCCCGATGTGTATAAGTGAGGCTTGGGCGCCCATGACCCCAACGCAGCTTTTCTCATTGTACCAACCACTGCAAACCGGGAACACCCCACAAGACTTGACTTTTTGGTGTTATGGCCCAGTCATTTAGCCATCACCATGGCTCAGATCTTTTCCCTTGTCCATTTTTCTTGGTTCCAACACATGAAATTCAAGAACTGGACCATTCACTTGCTGCCTAAGATATCTCACGCCTTGACATGTGACATTGTAATGATATCATCAGTCATTCACTTCACCTGTCAGTGGTTTTATGGTTGTGGATGATCAGTGTATACAGCCAACGAGGATCCTGCTAACCAAGTAGACATCCAAAACAGGCATTCCCAATCAGGTCCACAAAGGCTGGCCAACATTATCATTTACATAATGTGCAAAATTGTAACTAATACAATAATTGGAATATTTGCAGTTTATATGAATTATACTTCAAAGAAAAAAAAAACACTTTTTAATAAAAGAAAATATGGTGAAACG